CCATCCGCTGCATGTCTCGCCTGCTGCGGTCCAGGTGGGGGTTGCATGGTGGGGTGAAAATGCTTTGGAAGACCCAACGGGGGAAACTCAGGTTTTTTAGAGGTGGTTTGTACCCAGCCTGATTCAGATCGCCCTCCCCGTGACATTGCAGTGATGTGCCGACCGCCTTCCCCTGGTGTGAATCTGGCACAGCCTGAAGGGCGTCCTGGGGTCCCCTTCAGATTGATCCTAGCTGTGGGTGTTGGTGTGCCTTGTTCCTTGGTTACACCGTGTGTGTGCATCCGGAATTGGGCCACAGATCCCAAGGGTTGTGTTCAGGTTCCAAAAGGACTCATGAGCGGCAGTGATGATGCACAGCCTGCTTTACCTGCCACAGGTACTTCAAAACTTACAGACTTCACTTACAAACTTCAGTCTCCCAAAATCTCCCAGTGCATTGATAACACCTATCTGCAGGGGAAAAAAAAAAAAAAAAGTGGATATTCAAATCCTGCTTCGTTCTTCCTGTAAATGAGGAACCTCTGTTCCCTGGCAGGAGCAGAGCATTTCCATAGCAGTGGTCCAGCCAGGTCAGAGTCCAGGCCCAGGGACAGGGCAGTGCCAGATGCTCCAGAGAGAAGGGCCAGATACCATGGGGGGTAACGCCCTCCCCAGGGAAGGCCCCCCCGTCCAAATTTCCCTAGGGAAAGCTTGACTTTGACCTGAAGTGGGAGAGTTGAAAACCCTTCCCAGAGCTCCTAGGCAATATATACAGTACTTTCTAGACCAGAGATCCTTTTTACCCATACCACATTTAGGAAGAACACTTCAAGAGCACTCCTGGCTTCCTTCCATCGCCTGTAGTTTGTTCTGCTGACGCTGCCGAGTGGATTTAAGCCAGCGAGAAGTGCTTTTGAGCATCCCCCCTGAGCCAACAGGGATGTGGCGCTGGCTCAGAAGGGTTTTCCTTGCTCCTGAAGGACCAGCATTGTGGAGGACCACGTTTTCCAATGCTGTTTCTTAGACCATTTACTGCCAAAGCGCTGGGGTTGTTCTTGTTTCAGAAAGAGAGACAGAAAGCAAACGCGTCCCGAGAATGCAAAGCAATCTCATTTGGATGCTGAACACCTTGGGTAAATTCCTGAGCATGCGAAGTTAACTGTAGACACAAGTTTGGGACAGTGCCCAGTTTTCAGAGGAGAAAAGCTTTGGGCAGAATAAATATTTACCAAATCAATTGACTTTTTCCCTTTCTCCCTATTTGCATTAGCTCCATGAGTGACCACATTGTAATGATGCTTTATGCACTGCTCTCTGCCGCAAAGGGATGGAGTCAACCAGGTTTCGGGCTTAAAACCCCTCTTGCCTTCAGGAGCTCTCTGCTGGGGTTACGTCCATCGGTGTCTAGCGGCAGGGCTGATACCAGGGGGGAGTTTGAGAGAAGGGCTTGGTTGCAGAGAAACCCTCAGACCATGGCTTTCCCTTGCAGCCGCGGGTGCCGTGCCACTGCTGGGACCGTGGGTGCAGCGTCCCCAGGGACCCCACCGCAGCCCTTGCCTGGCATCGCTGGGGGTTGCCATGTTTCTCCCACCTGCAGGCTCCATCCTACGCACACCGCTGGGTTTTAAGCTCTCTCTTTGGTTGCTCCATGACCATCTCTCTCATCTACTTTTCCCTTGCAGGTCCGAGAAGTGTAGTGTTTCTGAAAGCTGTGAACCAGGTGAGGAATAATTCATTTTCTCTTGAAAAATTGTGATATTGAGGGGGACGCTAAAGCAAGTTACCTGTAAAGTAACTTGGATGTGTGGCACCAGTTACCTGGCTGTCCCATGGGGCAGTTCTCTCAGGATTTCATCCCTGTTCGATAGGTGTGGAGATGAAGGATCTTACCCTGTGATCCTCCAGTTGAGTCCCAAAAGTGCATAAATTGAAACAATGAGACGTAAGCACATGCTTAAATGCAATGCTAAGGGAAGTCTTCAATCTCACAGTTCCCTTCACCCTAAAAGCCAACGTGATCAGGTCACCAAGAAATCAGTGGTGTCAGTGCTCTGAGCACTGCAAATGAGAAAGAAGCTCAAAAAAACAGACTTTTCCCAAAGTTTAGGTGCTTGGACCCATTGAATCACAACCGAATAGGTGAAGCCACACCGAGCCTCACTGTCCTGCCTGCCCAAGCTGCGACTCAGCCCCTTGCAGGGAATCAGTCCCACCCTAAATGAGGAAATTTGTCTGGAGATAAGAGGCAGCCAGGCTGAGCACCCCATGCAGCATCGTCCTGGGGCAGCCTCTGCGGGATGGCCATGCTGGCGCAAGCTCCCTGCCCGCTGGGGGTTCAAACCACGCTGGATATTGCCAGGGTTCAGCTGGTCATGCCCTGGTGTGATGCGTCTGCAGTTGGTCCTCCTGGAGCTCAGGTCTGCAGAGCGCCTTGTCCCAAACATGAGTTTGGGAGCATTAAAAAAGTCAGGAGTCCCCCTTGGAGACGGCTCCTCCTGTGTCCCCACCAACGCTTGTTGGCAACCCAGTTTGTTTTCAGTGAAGAAAGCCAGGAAGCAAGCACGTAACAAGGGCCAGCAGCCGGTGCAAGGGCACCGGTGAGCTCCTGCCAGCTGAGCTGTTTGCAGAGGCCGTGCCCACAGACGTCCTTTGGGTACCTCCATGCCATGGGCTGATGTGGCTGGGCCACTTGGGCAAAGCCTCTTTGCTCCAGGATGCTCAGCTGGCACTGAAGTCCCAGCTGGCCGTGGTTTCCCTGCCGACCTTGGTGGGCAAACACGGCATTGCTGGTTCCTCTTGGCCATTGCCTTTTGTTGCCTTTCCCCGGTAGGTACCTCAGGAGAGCTGGGTGGGATCCGGCAGATCAAAATCGAGCCGGACGAGCTGGACATCATCCAGATCACCGTGCCAGGTAGGTGCTGGGGTGTTGGCTGCGTACAGTGGCCTCTGTGCTGGCAGGGCTGCTGCGTGGCGTCTCGGCGTGTTGCTTTGGGAAGAGGCAACCTCCCAGTATGGAAGGGCCCCTGGGCCCGTGCCTTGGTCTTTCTTCACTGAAGGTCACTTTAAGGGTCATATGAGGAATCAGTGGGTTTCTTGGGGGTAGTGAAGGGTGTTCTAGGGCTTGCTCTTGTTTCCCTCTCTCCTTCATTGCTTTTCCATGTTGCCTTTCCTTGGAAAAAGTGAGCCTGTTTCGCTGCTGTCCTTCACGCATGGGCTTGGCGGATCCCAGGTATTGAGCACGGGATGCTTTTGATGAGGTCCTTAGAAAAATAGCCTGGTTATGAAGAGTTTGTAAGAGCAGGCTTAATATTAAGCACGTGCTGAAAACATGTTGGAATCCGTGGCACTGATGCATTTCCCCACGTTTCTGCCCGGAGGGGGCAGTGGCAATGGGTGGTGATGGAGAGGAGCAGTTGGGTGCTTGAGGGGCAGCTGGGAGAGTCGTTTTCCAGTTACCTGACCTGGACAGCACAGCAAACGGTAGGATGATCTTCTGGGTTTAGTGAGTGGATAGTTAGCACTTTGCATTTTCAGTGGGCTTTACCAACATTAATTAATAATCTCACCAGAATGAGGGCAGCAACAGGACTCCCAGCGTGTTCGAGGGCGAGCGATGCTGGGTGCAGCAGTGATGCCCAGCCCCACCACGTCGGTGTGATCTCTGTGGTGCCCAGCAGTCCCCTTAATGCAGAGAGATCTGAGGAGTCACTCCAGGATTGTCATAGAATGGAGCTAACACACGGTTAATAGAGGGGAAGCAGAGGGAACAAGGTATAGTGGTAGATCAAACATTTTAATTTTCAACGTGGCAGCTAATGGAAGAGAAGAAAGCCAATACGTGGCGAGCTGGCAGTGTGTGCGAGGAGGAGGAGGAGGTGTTATCACTTCTCTGGTGCTGGGTAGATCACACTTCAAGTCCGGAGTCCACCTTTGCTTACCTTATTTGAAGATCAAGTTCAATCGGAGGGAGTATAGCTGAGGGCAGGGAGGAGGATTAATAGAAAAGAGGTGTTCACCTGCAGGGAGAAATTGATGAAATTTGGATTATTTATCCTGTGAGATGGTGATTAAGAAGTGACCCGACTGAAGTCTTTAAACTAGCTGAAGGTTTATTTAAAGCTAAATTTGGATAGCTCTTTGAGGGCATTGATGGCCCAGCGTTAGGGGAGACAGGTTTAAATGAAGAGGGCATACAGATTACGTAAGGGAAGCCCAAAGAAGTGTGATTTTGTGGAGAATGCAGCATTAGTGGAATCATTTTCCCACACTGGAGTAGCAAAGTCAAGCAGCATTAACTTTTTAAACCAAAATTGAGTGTCTAGATGGAATTAAGCCAAGTAAGTCATTTTGAACTATTTTTACTCTTCACCTTCTGCGGAGGTTAGGAAGAAACTTTTGCTCCTTTCCCTCGGGCTGAGAGGCCGGGTGTGTTTTGGGGACGAGCTCCGGGTGGTCCTGGGGAGGAAGAAGGCAGATGCACTCCTGGAGCAGCTCCTGGTGCGGGGCTCTCGGGACTGGGGAGCCCTTCGCTCAGCCCTTGCTGATGGGCCAGGACCCTCTGAACCCTGTTTTGGGGATGGTGCCCCCCGCCATGGAAACAAAAGCTGCCCATGGGGTTTTGTCCACAGACCGATCACCTGGTTCGGATGAGATGCACGACCCGGTGCCCACGCCCATGGCCTCGGAGGAGTCGAGCTACATCCTAGAAACAGTAGCAGGTACCAGGAATGAAGCATCCAGGAGACTGCGCGGGGGCACGGGAGTTCGTGTGTGTGTCAGAAATGAGTAAATACCATTTATGAGCCAAGGTGATGGAGTTGGGACCCGCTTCCAGAGTCGTGGCCTCAGTCAGGCCAGCTGGGAGCTCTGATAGACAAACTGGTGTCTTTTCCGGCACTGCCGCTCCTTCCCAGTCTATCTCCAGTCCTGGCTCACTGCAAACCCCAGTTCCTCTGCCTGGCTCACCTCTGGGATTGACCTTGGGGATCTGTGCTGCCGCTGCCCTCGCTCGTGCCGAGTGCTGGGTCTCGCCTCTCCCAGGAAGCCCACGCTGAGGGGCGGGCAGACCTCTTGGATGTAGGCGATGGTTTTATTCTGCTTATGCAGCTCCTGGCACGATGCTGCCAGCCCAAGCCTGCTCTGAGGATCCGTGCTCAGAGCTTAGTGAGGGGACGGAGCGGTTGGGTGACTGCAGGGGACCTGGAGACCTCCTGCTTGTGTCTGGTCTGGTTTTGCTGACACCGGCCACCACTAACCCTCCTCTTCCTCAGCAGGGACAGAGAAGGTGTCCAGCGAGGAGTCGCGACACGAGGAAAAGCAGATGGAGGGATCAGGTGAGTGTGCAATGAATCCCAACCATCATCTGATCACTGCAAGTTTTGGGGAGGATGGGTGAACACAGATCTATTTTGGGTTGGGTTTCCTGGGCTTCCTACCTTGTCAGCAAAGCATTCAGCCTCCAAAAAGCTCGGCATGGAGACACCGCTGTGTTCTCAGGCTGTGTCCTCCCCTCTCTTGCCGGGATTTACTTTTTCCTCTGTTCTTTTCCTCATTGCTGCCAGCATAGCTCTGTGGCAGCTGCATCGCTGCCCTTCCTCGCTTGGGGATGAGCTTGGAGGCAGCTGCCGGAGGTCCG